GTACTTACAAAACGGAGAAACCTACAACCATGTCATACAAAATAAACCGTCTTGAATATGTAACGTTAATGTGATAAGATTTATATGCATGACTACCAATTGCCCTGGCAAGAAAGCAGCGCTGAGGACTATGTGTCACTGAATTATTTTAAGCGCCTCTCTAAATTCTACCTTGGAGTGTAACTCCATTAAAAGTCGCCAATTTGACACTTCTATAGACATTTCTTTCTATCATACATGGGATATCCTATGTTTTGAAGTGAGAAAAAATTCCAGATTGTAAAGGCTGAAATGAGAAAAAGTTAGCTAATTAGGTATTTCACATTTCACCTAGGTGTCAATTACAAAAGGCAGAAGAAACCGTTTTTACATAGTATAATTGAAATTAACAGTTTTGTCTTCTATTTTTCACAGTTTTATCAAGCTGCCTGGATTGTGTCAATTATGTCAAGTATCTTCCTTAGGTTGGAGATGCATACAAAGAATTGATGTGACCCTACAATATTCACCGATACCAATCTCCTTTCATATTTTGCCCTCCCGTTCTCAAACGGATCTCATTGTCATGCCTAAGCGAGAATGACAGATGTCGCACATTCACCTAATGTTCGCTCAGCCAATCATGTAAGTCGCGCGATCGTTTGTTCACCAGAGACGCGTGAAGCAGCTCTGTCTAATTCTGTGATTGGAGGTAGAGTAGTTAGAATTTTTAACACTAATTATACATCCTGACAATAAAGTATCGTTTGTGAATGAGCCGCATATTACGCAAATTTATCAATCAAAACAAGAGAACATCGTATAATTTCAATAATGACGAGTGATGTACCGGTGTCAAAAAGGGTGTTAAGCTCAGGAGGCAAATGAGGACAAGCTCAACAAATGTAGAATTAGCAACCACAGAATCACCTACCGTAAACTATACAAGTCAAGCAAAAAATAAAGAATTCTGAAGAAATTATGGCATACTCACGAGGAAATTACTACTGATGCATATCATGCTAAAATGTTGGATGTTCATTCAAATATTCGAAAAACCCGTAGCTATGGAGTATCGGAATAAAATCATTGCAAGCATCGATATTTAAGAGGAAAAAAAGGATAAAATGGCAGAAAAAACGACATTTAAGACAACAACGCGTTAAAATCGAGGCTGATATTTGCATATGGAGTTCTGGCAACATACGTACATTAGTTAGAACGGCAGACGAGTCTGTACCTATAGAAAAACATCTCAGTAAGTTCTTCGCTCTCTCAGTTAGATGTGATTTTGGGTAGGAAGCATGTAGTTCATCTTCTGTAAGTGATGAATGGTTGCTCCTGTTCCGAATAGTCGTCACTGCATAATGAGGGATAGTTGCGAGAGTGGGGGTAACCAACCTGTAAGTAATTTATTGAGAAGTTTGATCATAGTTGACTCGGAAATCAATTCTTTTTCCTAAACATATATATTACAATAATTTCTTTCAAGATAAAATTATCAACAGTTGACTCTCTTTTCTTTCAAATTCATAACAATTTTTCCCTCGCTAGCCGTACGCCAAACCAAGCTGTCTTGTTGAAGAGAATCAAAAAAAATTAGTGAGCCAGTATCTTCAAGCAACCGGTAGCTAAGTACTGAACTCGACCATACCGTATATTTTTCTCTTGGGAAATCGGTTCTTTATGGAACATCAAAGTTGAAATAGCCCTCACCTCCAAAGTGCGATAATTTCCTGATGCTGCAGTGTAAATCGAACTAGCCAAAGGACGATGCATCATTGGCTGCGTCCAGTATGGTTGCGGTGAACTATTATCATACAAATTCGACATTTCATCGTTACCTGAAGAGTACAGCTTAGGTCTTGCAGCGAAAGTGAAGATATTCAACACGTTTTTAACGGTTAGAGTTAAGGCAAAAAAGGCTAAGTTCAAATTTGGCTGATTACCTCGCTGTGCTCGCTGGATGTTGTTACGATCAAGCGTTGCGATTCCCATTGGGTACTTGTGATGAAACATTGAGTTATTTAGTATAATAGGAGATCTGAAGAATTTATTTGACTAATTCTGCTTTAACCTTGAGAGTATGGGCAATTTCCCCGCTACAGTACCTTGTTTTGTCAATGGAGGAGTCCTGAGTGAACTGGCTAACACCACGCGGGTATTCTGCTGGTGCAACTGGAGGTGGAATTCGTGGCGGAGGTGGAGGTTTTCCAGAAAGGCATTTTGGAGAAGACGGCTGTAATGGGGTCTCATTTGGGTGGCCATATCATGAAGTACTTAAGCATTACAATATCAAACCAAAGCAGAACAAATGGATTTTTTCCCAACAATCTGCTTTGCATTTTAGTGCAACCCCTCGAAATTATATCCTCTCAAAGGCATTATTCAGGATTTGGATAAGGTTACGTATACTATCTTTTTTTTAGGGGCATAAAAAATCTCACGCACCTCTTGGTTGCACCGCAGCCAAGCTATAGCTCCAATTACAAGTCCTATGAATACGATGGAAATGGGAATCACAAAGTACCAGAAGCTGTCCATATCAAAGCCAATCGAACCAAAATCGTATGCTAAATGGAAATCGTCTTAGCTACTGATAAAAGCAGCTGAGAAAAAGTTGAAATCAAGCCGCTCACCAGCAACAACATTTAATTGAGCAGCTTTGTAAACGATATGTCCTTGTGTACTCGTAACGACGCAAATGTATCGACCCCCATGCTCTTTAGTTACCTGAATACCAAATTTAGCATTTGCGTAAGACGATAAAGGCTGAGCAGCTCACCATTGGAATGACAAGACGATTAGTGTAAAGCTGTTCGGAACCTTCTCGTGATATAGACTCAACCTGAGTCTGCTCAAGGACCAATAGGTGCATTCCACTTGCGTTCACAATGGTGGCATTCGGGTCACGGCGACGTATTGCAGCAGGGTCTTCGACCTCTTTTAACCACTGAAAAAAAAGAATTTTATGTATATTCCTGTGTAAGAAAGATATCGAGTAATGATTTGCTAGATTCCATAAACATGCCTTTATCAAAGGGCTCTGAGGTGACTTAGCTTTACACAAAAACTGAGCAGTGTGGCCTACTCTGACAGTTGTATTGTAGGGCTGGTCTATTATCGGTTCTGGCATTTGGTCCTGCAATATAATTGAACAAGTGAAGTGTATGCAGTAGATGTCTGAAACGCTTACATGAGGTGCAACGTCTCCCGTAATTCTCTTCCCGTCGTCGAAAAAATCGCCTACAGTAACTTTAAAGATAGCCTCGATTGATCCGAGACGATTTTCCAAAACACAGCGATATTCGCCCGAGTCATCCAGTCCAGATGGGTCTATCACGAACGAAGCAATATGTGGAGGAGTGTCTGTAATTTCAAATGATTCGATACCTCGACTCGATAATAATTGATACTGAAAGCATTTGAGGTTTACGAAGCCCCCACTCACCAGTTGTGATGCGTATGTTGTTTTTATACCATCGAATTTCAGGAAGTGGGTTTCCTCGTGCCGGACATCGCAGTTCCATGCGACCTCCACGGTTGATTTGCATAGGAGATGACCAGTCGAGGTTCATGTCGATCAACCAGGCTGGGGCAGATGCTACAACGTAGAAAAATCAACATAAATTAGCACAAATGATCTGCTGAAGTTTTTTTCTGGGTTGATTTAAGGACCCCAAAGTATGAGTCATTCAAATTCAGTGTTTGTCAAAATAACCCAAATAATTGAGTAAGCTCTTCTTTAGTAAAAACGCTACCCTCTTGATTTCTAAGTTGGTATTGGCAAAGTGATAGTGCAGAGATGATCAAAATCAAGCTACAAAAAGGGCCAGTAAAGGCGAAACTAACAATTTCTCCTCCTCTCCGCATGTTCTGAATAGTAAAAATGCTTCTTGGCGCAAACAAGACTTACTCGTATTAGCGAGAACAATAGCATCCTTGAGCGAGATTGAATCTTCTGAAGGATCTGCAACAACAACATTCGGGGTGAGGATTTGAAAGACAACAACGATATTGCTTTCCTAACTAAGAAGATTACTACTACTAAGCTCACCATAAACATGTACTGTAAAATCAACAGTTCGATGGCCAAAGCCGTTCGTTGCCTGACACTGATAGCGTCCACTGTCATCCAGTCTAACCGATTTCATCTTCAGCTCTCGATCATCTTTTGCAAGTTTGTAGCGAGAATCCCACTCCACCTGCAAGTGCCCTCAAATTCGATTTGTCTCAATTTTATGGCAGGCATCACATCCTCCGCTCGATCTATGCTTTGCTTAGACTTTGAGTGAGTGATTGTGAAATGTCGCGTGCGAAAGCCCTCGAGCTATGCCCATAATGGGGTGCTAGTGGTTTTCCGTATGTAGGCATTCATACTGACAATGATGGATTGCCATCACTCTAATGTCATAGAAACAAGGGCTATGGGCATCTGCGCATCTGCTATTGCACACAAGAAAAAAAAATACAACTAGAAGGCATGATCGTTTACCTGTTCGCCATTTTTGGTCCACTGTATCATCAACATGTCCTTGTCGTTTGTGATAACAGGACAGACAAGTTTAAATTGTTTCTGGCCAAGAGGAATCCGGAATTTTCGTTCAACGTCCATAAGCATTTTAGGAGGGGCTAAAAGTATGCAGGCTGATAGTATCCAAACTAGCCGTGGAATGTTACTAGTTAAGGAAGGGACAGGACGCACAAGAGAAACAAACAGAAAGAGATAGAGGATAAAGAAGAGAGCAACGCAAATCCATTTCTAATAAGCTTTGCTTCCAGGACAAGATATGGAAAAGGAAAAAAGAATGTAAAGAAGTGATAAGAAAG